GGCGCGCCGTCGGAACGATCCTGCTTGCCCGTCCGTGGCGGTGGCCACAGAGAGCTGTCTCATCCAGCGGGGCGATGCCCAGGACCCTGTTTCTTTATCATCGGCGGGGGGGGGGGCATCCCCCCCCCGCCGTGCGGCTCCGGCACCACGGCCGCGCCCGCGCGCACGACGACGATGAGCGACGAGCGACGAGCGAAGAGCGACGAACGACGAGCGACGAGCGACGACGACGACGACGACGACGACGACGACGACGACGGGCTCCAGCATGTGGGTAGCCTGCGCTATCGCGGGATCTGCGGCGTGAACTGCCTGCTGCACGCAAGGAGCGACCCTGGGCAAGAGCGACCTCCGGTGCGCGCCTTCCGGGGAGGGAGCCGCGAGCGGGCCAAAAACGAGACCGCATGGCGCTACTGGCGCATCGCGTCCGTCGATCGGGGGGCCCCAGATTGAGCAGGGACCGACCGTCCTGGCATTCCTATAGGCCTACCACGACATGTTGCTAGAACCCAAAAATATTATTCGAACAAAAACGATGTCCTCAGAACATAAACCCGATGTGTTTTAAAAAAGACAGCCCCAGCCAGAAATGTTATGATAATATTTCGTGCGAACCACAAGAGGTTCTTAGAACATTCGTTGGTGGTCCTACAGGCGAGCCAGGACGCTTCGCCACTGTTTGACCAAAAGCCCTCACCAACGGTCACCCTGGCGAACGGTCACTCTTCACGTGTAGCCGAATCTTCCGCATTTCCTTGCCACAGGTGGTGCCGGTCAAGATGTGCGCATGCACGAGCTTGGGGGTGGGCTCAGACCATCGGCGTCGCCGCTCTTTCGCGACGTCGACCTCCGAAGATCTCGGCCCATCCCGGGGGACCGGCTCTTCGTCCCGAGTCGTCGGTTGTCGGTCTCAGGGCTCGGCGAGGCTCCCAGAGGCAGACGGTTGCAGCAGGCCGTTCGTGGCGATGTGTTCGAGATGTGAAGGCATTTCGTGGCCATCTGTTCGCCAGGCGAACGGGTCCGGCAGGAGAGCCCAAAGTCGAAACGATAAGTTGGTTCGTCGATCGAAATTAAGCACTGAAGAGCTTGCACCACACGGACTGCACTACAGAGATTGCCAATATGGATTGCCTAATACCCATTGCACCACCGTGGTCTCACAACGTGGATTGCTTCACATGGGCTGTGCCACATACACTGCGCCACAGCCACTGCACAACCTAGATTATGCAATGTTTATATATATATATGTACATATACATGTATGGTTAAACGATTTTTAACACACACACACACATACACACACACACACGAAAAACAAACAACAACAACAACTACCCCCCCCTACCACCGGAAGTAACTTGGCGGCGCGCAGGGGAGGGGAGGGGGAGGGGGGAAGGCTTCTTAGAAGGAGGCTGCTTCTTAGAAGCCGCGGGCCTCACATATTTGCACAAGGCCCGCGCCTGCTAAGAAGCAGGGGTGCTTCTAAGAAGCCTTCCCCCCTCCCCCATAACCCCCTCTGCGCCCCGCCAAGTTCGGCGGTGGACAAACCTCCTTGTAGTGAACCTCCCCTTAGTGAAAACGGCCTGGGACCGAACCCGACGGACCTGGACCCGCAAAGATGACGGCCGCGACGCCCTCTAGCCAACCGAAAACGGCCAATTCCTCAATCGACGTGTCAGGCTAGGAGGTCTGTCCACCTCCGGCACACAACGACCCCCCGGGCCCTGTGGCAGAGAGAACGGAGAAACAGCAGACCAACATACCGCACGGCAAAGGGGGGGGCGCCGTGCCTCCGTGCGCTCCGCCGGGGCCGCCTGGCGCGGCAACGCGGGCCGCGCTCCGGCCTCCCTCGGCCCCGGTGCCGGCTCCTCCTGCGCCGCGGCTCCCTGTGGCATCCTGACTACCTCCTCCTCCTCCTCCTCCTCCTCCTCCTCCTCCTCCTCCTCCTCCTCCTCCTCCTCCTCCTCCTCCTCCAACCCAACCCAACCCCAAGACTCGAATTTCGGTTTGGGGGGGGGTACGGGTTCCACGCGTATGTTTTCTCAATGTTTTCCTCAATGCTCCCCCGGACCACCCCCCCTCACTCGAAATGGAGGGCAAATTGAAGCCTGCGGGTTGGGTTGGGGTGGTTTGGCGGGTGGTGACGTCCTGTGCAGTCGGGGTTGACTGGGGAGGGCACGCGAGAGGACACAAGACCCTTCCGAGGGCCACCGTGCCACAGGAATGCGGGAGGCAAGGGTCGCGAAGCACAAGACACGGAGGTACCCTCGATTTGTCAGGGCCGACCGACAGCCATCGTGCTACCAGAAGGAACGCCAAATCGGTGGCGCGGGGGCGTTTCTGGCTGCAGCGACGCTCGGCCACGTGTAGGCTCCAAACCCGAAAACTAAGGAACGGCCCGATAACCAAAGCCCCATCGAGAGCCCAAGGTGGTCCTTATCCCACAAGCCCTCTGAGGTGGTTTGAGGAACGTTGTTTTCTCTCTGCCAAAACCCCTCCTTCCCCTGCTCAGGGGAGGGGTTTACCCCTCCCCCTACCCCCTCCTCCCCTGGTCCTTGTAGGGGGGGGGCGCGAGGTGTCAGAGCGTCCTTGTTGGGCCAAGATCGCTCCAAGAGGGCCTCTGAGAGCGCCAGACAGCCTCCAAGATGGGTCAAGATACCTCAGCATGGCTCAAGATAGCCTCCAGCGCACATCCAAGAGGCCTCAAGACGGCCCCACCAAGACGGCTTTCAGTGCCCGCCAAGCCCTCCAAGGACCCCCCAAAAGGCAAAAATGGCTCCAAAACATGAGCACGATATATGGTGTTTGCCTTCTCGCGTGTTCGCTTCCGATTGGCTTTTGAGGTCTCACGATGGTCCAAAGACGGCCCACGAGAGCCCCGAGAGGGGCCCAAGAGGGCTTCAAGACAGCACTAGGAGCGCTAAAAGCGCTGCAAGAGCGACCCAAGAGGGCCCTAAGACGGCATTTCTTAGCCTCCGAGGGGGGGGCCTGAATTTAGGACCCCCCTCTTTCTGAGCCATGGGGGCCAAGACGGCCCCAAGAGGCCTCACAGACCCCCCCCCCCTAAAGCGCCTCAAAAGGACCCAAAGATCCCCCAAAAGAGCTCCAAGAGGGTCCCAAGAGGACCCCACGACCCCTCAGACCAGCAGAAGCACCAACAGCAGCAACAGCAGCAACAGCAGCAGCGCCGGCAGCAGTAGCAGCAGCACCACCAGCAGCAGCAGCAACACCACAACCACCAGCAGCAGCAGCACAACCAGCAGCAGCGTCAGCACCAGCAGCAACACCAGCAGCAGCACCAGCAGCAGAGCCACTACCAGCTGCAGCATTAACGGTACAAAAGGATACAAAAGAAAAGAGGAGGTGTAGGAGGAGTAGAAGAATGAAGCAGCATCATCACCGTCACAGCAGCACTATCAACGGCAGTAGCACTAGCACCAGCACCAACAACAGCAGCACCAGCAGCAGCAGCAGCACTGGAAGCAGGATAACCAGAAACACCAACACCACCAGCAGGCCGCAGCACCAGCAGCACCACCACCACCAGCACCACCACCAGCACCACCAGCAGCACCACCAGCAGCACCACCAGCAGCACCACCAGCAGCAGCGCCAGCAGCAGCACCATTACCAGCAGCACCACCAGCAGCACCATGAGCAGCAGCAGCAGCAGCACCAGCAGCACCACCAGCAGCAGCGCCAGCAGCAACACCAGCACAACCACCAGCACCACCACCAGCGGCACCAACAGCGGCAGCAGCACCAGCAGCAGCAGCAGCAGCAGCAGCAGCATCAGCACCATCAGCAGCAGCACCAGCACCATCAGCAACAACACAAGCACCCCTCGTTCACAAACATCTCTCGGTTCACCCTTCTTGCCCGCGCTGTTCCACCATGTGTGTGTCTCCTTCTCCCTTTTCCCGTCAGCTCTCATGGGCATCGTTACTAGAAGGGCTGGTGGGGATACGCGACGCGCAAAGGATGTCACGGCCTTGACTGTACTAAGCAGGCTCGACTGCATAAGTCGAAGGGCCCAAAGACACACAAATAAATACACACAGATAAAATGATGTCCGATATTTTCCCGTATGTTCGGGGTTTTTGTCTTCCCGCCCAATTCCCATATTTTCCAATATTTTCTGGGGGATCGACGATACATTATATCTGTGTGTATGCTTTTTCCCCTCTTGAATAAGGGCGAAGCCACGCCCATCACAAGACCGTGCGCTGCCGGGCGGGGTGGTGCGCCCCCCGCCGGGGGACGTGCGGGCGATCGTCCCCCCCCCCCCTGCCGGCGCCCTGGAAGCCTTGGGCCGCCTGCAGCGCAGCAGGACGACGACGTGGACCACGACCACGGCGACGTCGGAGAGAAGAGGAGGGGGAGAGGAGTAAGGAGTAAAAGGGAGGAGGGAGAAAGGAGGGAGGAGGAGGACGAGGAGGACGAGGAGGACAAGGAGGAGGAGGAGGAGGAAAAACAATACACAGAAGGGGGAGAAAGGAGTAAGGGTGGGGAGAGAAGGAGGCGGAGGAAGTGGATAATAATCAACACAATAAGAATTAGGAGAACAAATGAAAAGAATCATGCTATTAATAACAAGAAGATTAAGCATACTACGACTACGACTACGAAGAAAAAGAACAACAAAGAAGAAAAGGAAAACGAGGACGAGGACGGGGAGGAGGACGAGGACTAGGAGGAGGAGGAGGAGGGGGCACGATGATAATAATTCAGGAAAAAACAGAACATGGGATGAGGAAGGGTGGGGAAGAGGACGACGAAACGAGGAGGACGAGGGGGGAAAGGCGGAGAGGGAGGACAGAAAGGGACACAAAGAGAGGAAAGGAGGGAAGGAAAGAAGAGCGAGAGAAACACAAAGAGAGAGAGAGAGAGAGAGACAAAAAAAGGGATAAACACGGGGAGAAAACAAAAGGACATCGAAAACGAGGCCACCGAAGGCCCCCAAAAAGCGATACACGCCGAAGAATCGCTGGAGGGCCGCCGTAGGGCCGCGGGCCTCCTGCGCTGGGGCGGCCGCGGGCGCCGCCGCGAAGCTCAGGGGCGGGGGCGCCGCCGCGGGCGCCGCGGAGGCGGCCGCGGGGAGGTCCGCGGGAGGAGGCGCCTGGCGGGGGCGGAGGGCGGCGCGGCGCCCCGAAACATCGAAGCTCGAGGATCAAACTTCGAAAAGGGGGTCGGAGAGGATCCATGATCCAGGAGGTTCGAAGAAGAGCAGATGGAGGATCGAGGAGGAGTAATAAACTGGATTGCGGGCGTTGGAAGTTTGACAAGCGAAATCACTGCGTCAATAAGATGCCAATAAGGCTTCGCTACCAACTCAAATATACAATTGGCACGCGCCGGCGCTGAAACCAAAGGGCGACAAAGCATCCGACATGAGTTAGGATTGCGCGAACGATCGAGGAACTCTGACGGGAACGCAGGAACGGAAAGCAAAGAACCAACACTGTCCAAACCCAACAGCATTCGCAACTTAGGAGGGACACTCTATCGCTGTCTGGTCTGACTACGCGGCGAGAGGCGGGCTCACCGTATGTCGGGGGGCTCGTTCGAGCTCCCAGGAGCGGCATTGAGGAGCTCACAAGAGTAGAAGTGGTGCGCGTTCAGCCAGGCCGCTTCGGCGCATGTTTGATGACCCCGCGCCCGCAAGTCTGAAAGCCTGTCGCGAATGTCAGGCAAGGTGGGCGGACCGGTGGCCGCGCGGCGAGGCGACGTCGAGGCGCGACGAAACCTTGGCCAGGTAGGACAGAGGAAGAAGGGAAAGAGGATGGCCATGAAGAACGCGCATTCCTTTTGCACGATCGTCTCGGGTTCACCGCCTCGGTCGCCGTCCTGAAGCTGGGAGCTGCCACGGCAACGCACCCTCGCCTCCGTGCTGGGCGCGCTTGGCGCGGCGCTGCCCGGCGGTGACTCGGCGTCGTCGCCAGCGTCGGCTGCTGCGCGCGGCGAAGCGGCAGCGCGCCGACGCTTGACCTTCTCGCATCTGCGACGCGCGATATTCTAGGGCTTGGCGTTGTCGTCTTCGGGATTGCCCTCGCCTTTGCTATTGCTCTGGTTCTTGCCCGCCAGCTGGACCGCGTGGCCGCGCGAGCCGACGGAGGCCCAGCGGCCAGCGCGCGGCCGGATCGACGGCGGCAGCGGCAAAGAGGGCAATTCAACCTATGCGGCGCAGACTATGTCGGGCAACCTGCTTGGCGCACAATATACGGTGCAGTCCATGTAGCGCAGCACACGGAATTCAAAATACGCGGCGCAATCTACCCGGTGCAACGCATTAACGTTTGCAGCGCACTGTCAAGCCCACCGCTCGCGCAGTCGCCCCGCCCGCCCGCATCTCGGTTTGCAGAACCCAGGCGGCGGCGTTTGCGATGACTGCTCGGCGCTGGCCAGCGCGTCGCCGCGGCCGCGCGGGCGCGCGCGGGCTCGCGCGCAGAGCGGCCGGCCAGCCTGGCGCGACGGACGCGGCCGCGGCGGGGCTGACCGGCGCGTCTCGCAGCCCGCGCCGACGCGCGAGATCATCGGCGCGAGTCGGTGACTCGGGCGGGCGGGGTATCACGGCGATGTCGACAGCAGCAGACGCGACGATGAAAGTGGCAACGCTGGTGACGACGCTGACAACAGCAACGGCAGGGCCCATGACTGCGGCGATGCGGATCGCGCCGATAGCGATGATGGTGCCCCCGCGTGGATGAGGGTGGTTCTTGAAAGATTTTGACCTGCGCGCGCGGTCGACGCGCGCCAGTGGCCTGCGTTGCATTTGGTGACAGGGATCGCGCCCCACCCTCAGCGCGCGCGGGAACGTGGGCTTCGACGTCGAAATGAGCGCGCGCGAGGCCTGGTGGGCCGGATTTGATTGACATGCACACAAACACAACGCTTACCTTGAGCATTCGAACGAGCACGAGCGCACGCCTTGTTTCGCCCCAAACCCTGTTGCGAGGCGACTCGTGCTTCGCGTTCTTTCGGGGCACCCGACGTTGAAACATGCGCGAAACACACGGCGTTGTTCAATGGTTTCGGCGCGCGCGCGGCGACGCGCGCGCTCGCGTTTGGCCTATTATCTGTCGAGGGTTCCCGACAGCGCGCGCGCAGGGGTGCCCGCGTGGATTCGGCGCGGTCGCGCGCGTGGGGCGCGCTCGGTAGCACGCGATAAACCAATTGAAAAACCAATCGTTTCCTAAAGAATTTGCAGGAGCGCGAGCGCAGGCATTCAAAAACTCATGTTGCGAAAACACAATTGTTCATGCGCTTGCGGGGCACCCGACGCTGAAATCCGCGCGAAACCCAAGGCGCCCCATGGATCTCGGCACGCGCGGAACGACGCGCGCGCAGGCGCTTCGCCCCATTTCCCCCTGAGAACCCCCGGCATCTAGCAATTTCTGACAAGCGCGCGCGCGCCATTCCCCGCAGAGGCGAGGGCGGGGGGGGGGGGGCGCGAGGTTGAGCGACTGCCTGGGACGGCGCGAACTCTTATTGAAGATGGGCGAGCGCGCAGGACCACGCGCGGAACGAAACGCGACGCGGCGCGCCGTCGCACCTCCGGGGGGAGAGGGGCGGGCAGGGGGCGGGCCCCAATGCTGTCTGCAGTCGGGGGCCCGCGAAATGTTATCTGCGCGGAGCAACCTACGCAACGCCGTCTACGCGGCGCAGTTTGCTGCCTGGCCGAGCGGCAACTCCGCTGCCCGCGCAATCGCCCCGCCCGCGCGCCCGCTACTTGGTCTGCAATTCCCGCGCGGCGGCAATTTCAACGATTGCTCGGCGCCGCCGGCCGTCGCATCGTCGCGGCCGCGCGAGCGCGCGGGCTCGCGCGCGGCGCGGCCGGCTAGTCTGAAGGGGCCCAGGGATACACAAATAAATGCACACAAATAAAAAGACTCCGGATATTTTTCCCATATTTTCTGCGTTTCTGTCTTCCCCACCACTTCCAATATTTTGCCGCATTTTCTGGGGAATCGACGATTAATTGTGTCTGTGTGTTTTTTTGCCCTCCTGATAGTCTGGCGCGACCGGCGCGGCCGCGGCGGCGCAGACCGCCGGGGGCGCCCCAGCGCTCCACGCAGGCCGCGCCGACGCGCGGGCACTTTAGCGCGAGTCGGCGGCGCGGGCGGGCGCGGCGTCATGGCCGCGTCGACGACGGCGGGCGCAACGATGATTGTTGCGACGCTAGCGACGACGACGGCGACGACGACGGCAAGGCCACAGACGGCGCCGATCCCGATCGCGCCGACATCGACGATGGCGCCCACGCGGCGGCGATGAAAACGACCGCAGGATTTCGAAGCGCGCGCGCGGCCGACGGGCGCGAGCGGTCCCCGCGCCATTATCGCACGGGACCGCGCACCCGCCCCCGCGCCCCAGCGCGCGCGCGAGGGCGTTCGCACGATTCCGGCGGGGGCGCGCCAGAGACCCGCTTGGTTGCGCGCTGTGGTTTATATATATATATATACATATATACATATGTGTGTAGTTATGTAATTATATGTATAAATCAATACACACACACATACAGATATGAGAAGGGGCCCCGCCCGGATTTCCAAGAGCGCGAGCGCGCGAGCTGGTCTGCAAAAACAGCTGCAATGCAAAACCGCGGCGTTCCTTGTTTGTGTCCTCGGGCGCTCGATTTTGGAAGCCCGACGAAGCCGCGAATGTTTGACATCTGCTGGCGCGCGCGCGATCTTCGCCGCGTCTTCTGCGGGGGGGGGGGCCGAAAACGAGCGATCTTTGACGGGCAGGGGCGCGCTGTTAGGGGGCGCGCCCCTGTTTTCTACGCGGCCGGCGGCGGGGCGGCGGGGGCCCAGCCTGGCAGGGTCGGCGCGAACCCTCATTTAGAATGGGCGAAGGGACAAAACCACGCGAAACAAAAACACTCGCACACACGGACGCACCCGCGAGGCGCGGATAAAACATGGGGGTGGTCAGATCCGAAATCCCTGCTGCGATGGGGACTCTGCGCAACGCGATGAACGTTGTCCAATCTACGCGGCGCAATGAACTTGCGCGTTTGCACGGTGAGTCGGAGACTCCACTGCTCGAGAAATCGCCCCACCCACCTACCCTCAACTTGGCTTGCGCAACCCATGCGGCGACGAATGCGACGGCTGCTCGGCGAAGAGCGGCCAGCTATTCCGGCGCGACCGACGCGGCCGCGGCGACGCCGATTTCGGGGCATTCCAAGCGCGCCTCGCAGGCCGCGCTGGCGCGCGGACGTTCCAGCGCGAGTCGGCGACGCGGGCGGGCGCGGCATCGCGGCGGCGTCGGCGACGGCGGACGCGACGGCGTCAGAAGCGACGCTGACGACGGCGACGGCAAGGCCAGAGACGGCGCGCGCCAACGCCGATCGCGCCGACAACGACGATGGCGCCCACGCGGCGGCGACGAAGGCGTTTGAATAAGTTCGACGCGCGCGCGCGCGCGGCCGGCGGGCGCGAGCGACCCCGCGCGATTTCTCGATGGGGGTCGCGCACCCCCCGCCCCCCCCCCACGGCGCGCGCGAGGGCTCTGGAATGATTCCGACAAGCAAGCGAGAAGCCCCATCTGGGTGCGCGGGATGCGCAAAGTTGAAACAACACAAGTGTTCGCGCGGATTTGCAAGAGCGCGCGCATTCTCCTGTTGGAAGAATCACGTTCGAAAGCCACGCACTTAAACTGTCTTTTGGTCGCTCGATTCGAAATCCATGCAAGACCGACTACTTTGCTACATAGGCCGCGGCATGCGCCCGCGACAACGCGCGCGCGCACTTTGCCGCATATTCTTGCACGGGCAAAAATTAAAAATGATGATTTGGGATAGTCGACTGCGCCCGCGCACATTCTTGCCGGCAGAGATAGGCGGGAAAGGTGCCCAGACCAACCGTGGAGGCATGGTTTCAAATTGAGACGGGATGATGGAACCGCATCACCTAACACGCACGCAACACACACGCACAAACACACGCACACACATATATATACACACACACACCGGAGGCGCGGAACACATCGGGGAGGGACGGGGGGGAAGTTCGAAACCATTTTCAGAAAAGGGCACCTTTGTGGCACGATGAATGCGGCGGCGCAATCTACGCGGCGCAAGACAACCTGACGAACTCGAACTTGCCCACT